CCTGCTTGGAATTCGATCTCTCAAAGAAAATCGGAACTGTTTTATGAATGTGTCGTGAGAATAGCGTTCGGTCGTTCCAATGCTGTCGTTAATGCACTGGTCCCATGGTTTAATGCCGGATTTGCGAGGCGAGTCGTCATGGATCTCGTATTACACCAGCGATGGGCTGAGGAAGCTTCTCCTTTCCTCGCGTGCTTGATTGGGGCCTTGTTTTTCTCGCTTCGTCGTTGTATACGGCTCATACTGACGCTGCCCTCCTGTTATAACTAACGTCCCCTCCCTTATAAGCTGCCTTTTTCAATGTGACTTCCGAGTTTTTAGGGTTTGATAACAGGCTTGGCCTGAATAAGTTGATAAGCGGCTAGTTTTTTTGGTTTTCGCTTCTCGGTGGCCGTTATCAGACGATTACAGGGCTTCTCAATCATTCCCGCACTACTGAAATGCGCATGCTGCCAAGGGTTGCCTCCGGCCCTTGTTCTTCCGAAGCGCTCGGGCAATGATTCATTTTCTGCTTTGTTTATAATTTGTCGAGTCCGATTTACCTAACTTTTCCTCCTTAATTGTATCAACTGGGGAGGCGGTGCTCTTTCGTCCAAAAGCAGATAGAGGTTTTTGAAGAACTCGGCAGCAAAGGAGCTCTCTTGAACTCGATATTGTTGGGCCAATTCCTTTCAGGCTAGGGGGAAAGAAAAGTATGAGAGTGTTATGTTGGTGGGTATAGCCAGGGGAAGGGGGCGAATCTCAAGTTTTTTTGTTTCACATGGCTTCAACCACCTTCTAATTTTTTGAGCTTAACATTGTGCCAAAGAAGATAGGGAATGCATGAGCATTGCGCTCAGTATATAGATTTCCTGAAGGGATGTAAAATGATGTCGTTTTGAGGGATGAAGCGATGAGCTTTAGATACCAAAGTGATTCTGGGGATGACGAAAGTCTTTAGTACAACAAAGGGTAACGAGTACTAGTGGATTACTGGGTTGCCCTTCGACGGTAATCTGATACTCGGTTTTTATGATCCGATCAGCTGATGCACTTAGCAGTTATCAGCTGTTCTCAGTGATCATAGGATTATGATATTAGAAAAACCTGTTATACCCGCGTCACAGAGCTCTTTAGGTTCTGATACATTATTCAGGAGCTAATTAACCGTCGTTATTGCGTGTGTCTAGCTTGGCAGCCACGTGGGCTAAAACGACGCAGTTTCACCCACTCTCCCCCTTTTTAGATCGTTAGACAAGACCCTATAGGCTACGCATGGGTGTGTAGAGGTTTGAGCCCATTTGGGGTCCTTGATTATTTTTGAAAACAGCTGTTCATAAGTTTGTCAAAACAACATGATTGGAAGAGGTGGGGGTGTTGACATCCTTTGAAGAGCGTTTTTTTATCAACGACACATGTTGCTTTTTTATGCCCACTTTTGCAAAACCATCACGTCGCAGTGGTCAGGTCGGGATTCAACATGGTCTCAATTCGTTTACCTTGCCTTGTTCTTGTTGCAAAATGCAAAAGTAATGGCCTTAAAAGTTATGGCCTTAAAAGTCCAACGGCCTCAGATCATCGGGCATTTGGAAAAGGTTTCAATCGGTTTTTGAGGCACTCACTTTTGCAGTGATGTAAGATGCTATGCAATGGGTCATTTATAATACAAAGAACGTGATCGGACCCAAGGGCCTTGCAATTTGACATTTTTTCCCTGCAGCCATGCTTTTCAGAACGCTTGCTGACAGATAACGGCGTGTTGTAGAGTGGGAGGGTTCGCGTTGGCATGGTTGTACAAATATTTACAGTTTTTTGGTTTTCGAACCTCTCTTTAATGTGGCGATGAAAATCTTTCTGATGTCATTTACAATGAGGCATTTTTCACCCTGTTTCGTTATACCTATCAGCTTTTCCTTTTTCTAGCAACAGTTCTTGTGAGGATCTGTTGATACAAGGAAAGTCCTCCACCCATCGTTATGCTAGGAAAAGCTTGACTACAAAACTTTGCAGAAAGTCCTAAAGCTTAAGGTCTATGGATAACATTCTTCTCATCTCACATAGAGTTAGGTACACTTGTCGGTAGATAATACCAGCTCACTGCTCAAATTGATGTCATTACTCATTGTTCGCTTATCTGTTGTACTGCGTTTCCGAACTGATCTCTCCAATGTGCAAGAAATATCTTAGCTTCTCAGTCGACCTACTTCCAGGACAAACACCGAGTTTGGGAGCTAACAGGATGCATCGTGCAGGCATGCTTTGTCGTTTGACATCGCCAAGCCGCGCGGCTGCGATGTCTCTACGGGCAGCATCGTCCGCGTCTGGAAAACTCGGGAATCCGATCGCCGCCCCCACCACGCAGGTGCTTAAAAAAATTTCGAGAAAAATTTTTATGCTCTCATTCTCCCCTTATGTGAAAAATTTTGATAGACTATTGTGAATAAAGTCTGCCTAAAAAATTATTCTTGCAGATCACATTGGCAGGAGTCGTGAGCTCTTTTTTTTTTTTGAAAGCTCTATACATTATAAAATGAGCTGAATTGAATAGCAAGAAAGAATTAATACTTGTAGTTGGCTGGATTCAATGCTAACTTGCGATTTTTCAAGGTGCGCCAGCAGTCATTGGCCTCTGCCCTGAGTTCGGAGCCTTTTATGAATGCCACCTCTTCCATGTACATCGAGCAGGTGAACTGAAATTCTATCAACTGGCTATCACGTTAATATTTGCTATCGTTTGAAAATCACCCTTTTCCAGATGTACGATGCCTGGAAAGCAGACCCGAAGTCGGTTCATGCGTCGTGGGACGCTTACTTTAGGAACGTTGAAGGCGGTGCTGCTCCTGGTCAAGCCTACCAGGCACCACCAACCGCCTATGGTGCTGTCGGCGTTCCAGGAGTTGTAACTCCGGGAGTGGCAATTGGTGGAGGATATACTATGTATGCACCAGTAACTTACTGCTGTTCATGAGCAATTCTTGGGAATCAATGATTTTGTGGACCGTCTTTGGCAGAAAGTCGTGGAAATGGTAGAAAGCGAAGTCCCTTTTTTCGATTTGGGTTGGGGTTACCAAAGTGGTGAACTGTTCTGATTGTTTGTTCTAAACTGATAAGGAGTTCAGGTCGTGTAGCGTATCGAAGCCGTGAAAGACGTTTTACTTGAAATCGATTCATCTGAAGATTGAAAACGTTCTTTACCTCCATCTGCGTTGGCTTAAGTGTAAACAGTCGCGAGCAAAACTTTTGGCACTTTGAACAAAGCGCTATCACGATTGCGGTGTTTGCTTCAACTTAACAGCGGGGTTGTTCAGTATTGATGATTGGTTTGACGGTCAAAAAAGTAAACAGGCACATAGGCCCAGGCAGTTGGCAGAGATTGATGGTACGAAAGGTGTATGAGTCTAAATGCGTTGAGAGATATTGATTGACAGGGTGTCCCCTAGGTTGCTCCCATAAATGCGGTCCCTATCCTTTGGTCTGATGGGTGTTGTCTGGTCAAAGTCATTACCTTATATGGTGATCGTTGATTCTGGTCATTTAGGCCTCAAGTTGCGCCAGCAACAGCTGCAGGACTTGACACTTCAGTGCAAACGATCTCTGATCATCTTAAAGTTCAACTTCTCATTAGAAGTTTCCAAGTGAGTTAGCCTTTTTCCTTAGCGACAAACCTACCAACCTCCTACCCGACTTTGGAGTTAATCGATGATCGGAACAGGTTTCGTTAGGTCCTTCAAGAACATCTAAAGTTACAACCTTTTCGTGGACAACTTTGAGTTTCAAAGAGAGTTGAACCTCAAATGGTATTGTATGTTCTTAGTATTTTTTTTAAGTTCCTGTTTATTTTTCAGACTCGTGGCCATAATATAGCCGACCTCGACCCTCTAGGAATCAATAGCGCCGATCTCGATGACACCATACCACCCGAACTTGAACTTTCTTTCTATGGATTCGGGGAACGTGATCTGGACAGGTAGTTAACAGTGTCTCATAATTGTGTT